TAAAAGTGGGAAAACAGAATGGGGAATGTGTTAGACGGGGCGTAAGTGACAGGATATCTGTGTGTGAGTTTGTGGTTTTTGTGTGTGAATCCCGGTTGCTAAAAGTGTGAGGGGAAAGCAGACATGTCACACTTGACAAGGGTAAAATGAGAGGCAATGATTGACTGTTTTCCGATGTCACGGATTGTGAGCTATCCCAATTAGGAACAATAAAACGCTCCGCTCGCTCCTTCGGTACTTTTTTTCCCCACTTCCTTTGCTGCACTATCTTCTGCCTGTGTGCCATGTTTGCATGTCTGTGAATATTTCACTTGCAAGTGCATGTTCTCCTTAATCGTTTCTCTTTATTTTAAACACACCTGACACTCTAAGCGCACCTGGCTATTAACAGATTTCATTCCCCTGTCTATTTATCCTTCAGAAGTATTTTTTTTTTTTTGTAACATATGCAACTGCAAGCATTTCTCAAAGACTTTAGTGTATATATAGGTGATAGCATCATGCAGTTGTTGAAGATTTTGCACCTGCACGTCCGTGAAGCAAATCTCCTGATCACCAAATCTCCAGCTAGAGTCCGCATCCTGTCGGACACCATTTGATCAAATGCTTCAGTGCTTAAATTAAATCAGTTTGACATAATGTATGCATTGTTGCATGGTGGATTATTTTGTTGGAAAGTATGCTCAAGTGATACTAACTGGGGCTAAATGGGCTGCGGAAATATCCGCCGCACGATGGCACCACCGCCACCACCAGTGTGAAGTATTGATCCATGCCTACCGTTTAAATGTTGCAATTAAAATTGAGACACATGGGACCAGGCAATGTTTTTTTTTTTTCCAGGCCATTATTGTCCAATTTTGGTAAGCCATGGTGAACTGTACTTTTAATTTCCTTGACTTAGTCGACTGGAGTGGTCCCACGTGTTTTCGTCTGCTGCTGTAGCCAGCAGCCTACAACCTTTTGATACGTTGAGCTTTTAGAGAAATTATTCTGCGTGTGTTTCATCGACTGTTCCCTTCCATTATCTTGAACTCGTCTGCTCATTATTTTCTGACCCTTGACATAAATTAGATCTTTTCATCCACGCAACTGCCTCTGACTGGGTGTTTTGCCTTTTAGTCCCGTACCGTACTTTGCAAACCTGAAAGACGGCTGTGCACAAAACAATTTCAGCAAATCAGCAGCTTCTAAAACACTTAGACCAACCACAACACATTCACACCTTTCTCTTCTGTTTTAACTTCAGGAAGTCATTCTTACCACATATAGATTTCTAACCTCCAATTGACATTGCTCGCGTCTCCGCTCTGCCAATTACTGCAGTAATTACGCACCCATTATAGTATATGGGAGTGTTTACACTGCCCACGCATTACAGTGTACCTCTGTGTCACCTTTTTATGCTGTATATATGTGTGTGCTTTAAAAATCTTCTTTTTATTCACAATCTTTACTGGGAAAATGATTAAATCAACACTGCATAAACAGTAGAATCAAACTGTTCTATGTATGTCAAAAAAGCATAAAGTATAAGCAGACAATCGTCTGATTGTCTCCTGATTGTCTCCAGTAGATAGTAAGGCAGAAAACTTTGACCTCCTTCTGTATATTCCGTGACCGGCCATGTGGACAGCTCTCTGTACATTGCAGCTCGGTGTGGGAGTTTCTTCTGCCGCAATGACGAACACAGGGACTGACAAGTCTTACACCATGACCTCCCTCCTTTCCCACCGTGCTCAGCCATCGCTTCTTTCAGCTTCCACCACACACACGCAAACAAACAAATGCGCAAAAGCGACAGACAGACAAATTCTCCAAAGAGCGTTTGAGTGAGCCTGAGCGGAGACTGAGGAAATCTCACATACAGATATAATATCATTAAAGAACACTCACAGATCTTTATCTACAGTAGCGGGAATGAAACGGGAATCTGTTTTGCTTATTTTCTCCCGGTGACAAATGCAGGCAACGATGGAATCACATCTCACAGAGAAGCTATCAAGACGGGAGGGGAAATGCTAGCTCATAAATGTAGCAAAGAATGATTAAATGCAGCAATGTAGCAAACAAAGACGTGCACATTTAGAAGAATATACTTCACCTCTTGTACACACATGCATATTCTGTTTCAAAATATCAGTAGGAATTAGATACTTGGATAACCATTCAGCAAATCCTCCTTCCAGATGTCACATGTATGAAATTAATGTGAATTAATGCTGCTGTAAAATACATATACTATCTCTTAAGTGTTGCTGTCATATGAACCAGCTGAGACATACATTTTCTTCTTTTTTTTAATGATATTATTTTCCAAGACTACTTCGAAAATGAATGACTTTCTACTGAAAGTAGCGGTTAAGCATTTGGTTTTGATAAAGTGAACCTTACAACACATTGATGCGCAGTAATTGTCTGGTTTCCGTTGTGTTTCCAAGTCTTAAACTTGTAAAAATGTATGTGCATTATTGAAAATGCTTTAAATCCTGCAGATGTTTAGCATAAGCAGTGCAAAAGTCTTACTGCTGAAACTTGGAGAACCTAGTAAAGTTTTATTGTCAACTTTCAAGAGTAGGATGGATTACTACTTGTGTTGTCAAGGTAGTTCAACACACCCATTTGAAAACATTTTTCCCAGATGGGGCGGCGGTCATGCTCATCCTCTTGTTTGCCCTGTAGTTGTTGTGTCCTATTGGGCAAGACACTTCACCCACCTTGCTTACTGCTCTGGATTTGATAAAGCGCTGTATAAGTAAAGACCATTTATCATTTTAATAATCTGGGTTCTGTCTCCAACAATCAATGAGTAAAATGCTGGGTAAACCCCAGACAGGTCCCTCCTCCATCACAGAGCCCTGAAAGCCACTAATATGCAATTTTAACAAAGTCATCAACAACGCCGAAGGTTAGAGATTCTATATTAAGTAACTTCCTGTGGCAACTTGCTGAAGTGGGCTAATTCAGGATAGCTTGTATGTAGTCAAGAGGACATTTTTAAAACACTCCCACTTTATTTATTTATTTTTTACTTATTTTTTGTTTTTAGCATTTATTATGTTTGAAATAAATAAATAAATAAATAAATAAATAAATAAATAAATAAATAAATAAAATTAAGTTAATGCTGAGTGAAATTGCTATGGCCAAAAGCCACCAGTAGGAGGAGCTGCAACCCTGGCATCAGCACCTTCAGTTGCTGTGTGGTCTTCAGATTATCTCAAGATCAGCACATACGCTGCTTTTTCGAATGAGCTTCCATGACATAGCAGCCTCATCCAAACCCTACAGAACGCCTTGCATCACCGAATGCAGTAAGGTATGATGCTACTGGAATTTAGAGCATTAAACGCTTCTACTTCTGTCAGTCTGACGGACTAATTTTGGTTGCCAACAGAACAGCGCTTTCCCGACTGTGCTGAGTCAAGTGTAAAATGAGCCATGTGTAGAATTATGTTGTGTTTGAACGGTTCGACTAGGCCGCTTAGAGCTCAGTAAAATGAGCTTTTAAAGCTCCGTCATACAAACAGATTTTTAACATTTCAAACTATAGACAATATCAAGCTGCTGGCAAATATGGGAACGTTGGAGATGGCCCCTTCCAGTTCCAGCCTGACTCCACACCTTTACACCAAGCAAAGTCAGGAAGGATTAAGAACCTTTGTGTGTGTAGACGCTTCTTCAGAGCCCAAGTCGCACACTTGAGTCATAAAATGCATTTCTGTGAGAAAGGGAATTCCATCTGAAATCAGTGTCTGATCTGGAAGAATTGAGGAATATTCCCATAAACACGCTGGAGAGTTTCACGTGCAAGGCAAACATATCAATGCTGCTACAAATCCTTTCATTTCACTGCATGGATGATTAAAAAATATATATTAATAGGAGTTTTGCAAACTTCTATTAATGTGTTTGAGTTACTTGAACAAATATTTGTGGATAATACAGTTGACAGAAATAAGTCAAAAATTGTTGTGAACATATTTAAAACATGAACTGTGGAGTATGTTTTTTTCTTTTTGTAAACAGTGGGATATTTGAACTTGCTGTGATTTTAAATATGCAAATCGCCATAATTCACACACGTCGAGCTAATAAAGGCGTGTAATTACAAAACATCATTCACAAACAAGCACAATTACAGCAGTATTTCACCTGTTCATAGCACAGTTTGTGTTGCGTTTGCTCGAAGGACACCTCATGACTGATCAGACTTTACTTTTGCACCATTAAGGACTTGGCATTTCAACACACAACTCAACTGTATTACGGTTTGAACAGCAGTATATAAGAGTTAGTCTAAAACCATGTTGTGAGCTATGCTATAGTTGCACATATGGCCTTAGTTGTGGTAAAAGTATCAAAGTGGAAAACGTTCATTAAACTGACACGTCTGTTTGTCCTGATGTCAGTCCTTCTTTCCTCCTTAGCATGTTTTGCATAATTCCACTCAATTTAATTACGTTTACATTGTAACGACACAATTTTAAATGCTACATGAATGAACGGAGACGATTTGCCCACATGTAATGGTGCTTCTCTGCACTGTCCACGTTCATGTCTGAGTTTGGCTGAATTAAGTGGGAAATGATTCTCAGTCAGATTTAATGGAGTGGATATTAGTGAGTACAACTCTCATTCCCTAGAACAAGGCCTGGAGTTCTGCAGCCCGTCTGTACCGCACCAATCCAATTTTGTCTTAATTGAATTGTTCGGAGCCCCTCGTCCATATATTTCCTTCACAGGAAGCTTATTACTTTCAATCTCTGCTTGTGTTTTTTTATGTGTATGGCTGTGGGAGCTGGGGAGTGTGTGTACCCACTTTGTGCCAACTTTTAAATGCTCTGTGTTTGATTGATGTTTCTGTGATGCAGTATGAACCTTGTGGATTAATTTGGGAGATGAAACCAAAATACAACTGATTACTCAAACTAATCAACCACCCCCGCCCCTCTCCTTTGTCCCACCTTTCTCTTCCTCACCATCCCTCATACTGACAGGATGTGAAGTCGACATTTTTCCAGTTTGGTGCTTCCATCCAGCAGGAGGCTCTGTTGATGCTGAACATCATGGAAGAGTATGACTGGCATGTGTTCTCAATTGTCACGTCAAAGTTTCCTGGATACCAGGAGTTCATCAACATCCTAAAAACTACAGTGGACAACAGGTAAGCTCATTAACTTTATATTTACTTGTTCACCAAAATGCTAAACTTTTTTTAAACATATCTAAACCGTTCCAACACGATCAATATGTGCAACATTTTGGGAATAATTGAGTGCTGGGATATTTGATGTCATAATTTTCTAACCTGGCAGCAAATGCAACTGCTTGGTGCTTCCTCTTTAAAAAAAAAATAAAATAAAAAAAAAAAAAAATAAATATATATATATATATATATATATATATATATATATATATATATATTGTATTGGAATCAAATCAGATTAAAAATAATAATTTGGGGGACTTTAACTGTTTCTGGTCATTTGTAGGGCTGCATGATATTAGACAATCATAAAATGGGAATGTATTTTGTGAAAATTCCAGTGACAAAATTAAGTGGTTTGGCTAAACTCTAGTCAGATGTACTGACTAGAGTTTTCAGAAGCAATGTTTGCAAGCCCACTGAAATAATTTGTTGCATTTTTCTTCAGCTCAAAGTACTTTTAATGAGATTCTAGAGTGACGTCCACAGTTTAGAGCTACCTCATTTGCCCATCTGTTTCTGCACACTGCCCATTAGCTGGCTGAAAGAGGACCACCACTCCAATCCGATGCAAAAAAGAAAAGAGCAAAAACAAATTGGCCTGTTTAGAAACCTTTCGCATAAATCATAATACTTATTAGAGAATACTAGACTCTCTAATAAGTGAGTAAAAAAAACCAATGTTGTACAGAGTAGAACAGCAAACTGTTAACCATCTACTTATTCCTACGCACATCCAAATTACAATAAAAAGATGCGAAAGGTGACATCATTATAAATATATCTAGCACATTTTTAGCAGTTGGAACAATTATTTATTGTCTCATTTAAATGAAAACATTTATAGCATACTATTTTTATTTATTTATTTATTTTTTTGCTTCAATGCTGTGAAAACATTTTTTTAAATATTGGTGACTCCTCGTCTTTTAAACAAACAACTGAGAGAAATTATGTCTAAGTTGTTGCCAATAATTGGTTTTTAATGTTGGGTTTAATCAGCAGGCCACTGGTCTGTAATTGACACAGTGAAAACTATTTCAAACCTTTCAGAGTTGCGTAACAACTTTGTTCAGCTGCTGCTTTTACTCTATGGGATAAAACTTCCTCAGAATCATTTTAAAGGAGAGACTTTAATATTGACATTCCATTTAGCCTTAATATATTTCCCCTGACAATAAGCACCTTGCACCTCTTAAGAGTCTTGCCACAATGACCAGCGATATCAACTATAATGGGTAATTATGGCTGCCACAGCCAACACTTGAGCACAGTTAATCATCTATTAGTTAAATATTAACATTTTGCTCTTGTCCCCTTTATCGCCTTAGTTTTGTGGGCTGGGACCTGCAGAATATCATCACTCTGGATGCCGTGGAGGAAGACAGCCGCTCTCAGATCATGCTCAAGAAGGTCCAGTCTCCGGTGGTCCTGCTTTACTGCTCCAAAGATGAAGCGGTGTACATCTTGGAGGAGGCTCGCTCTCTGGGCCTGACTGGATTCGGTTACATCTGGATCGTGCCGTCGCTCACGACGGGGAACCCCGAGATAATGCCGGAAGCGTTTCCGTCGGGGATGATTTCAGTGTCGTACGACGACTGGGACTACCCGTTGGAGGCGCGCGTTCGCGACGGACTGGGGATCATAACGTCTGCCGCGGCAGCCATGCTGGTGGAGTACGGTGACATCCCAGAGGCCAAGACATCCTGTTACGGCCCGATGGAAAAGACATCAAAGCTCCCGCCCAGCGCACTACACAAGTAAGTATTTTTAATGGCTCTTCCTTGGCATTCACAATATTGCGTAGACTCAATTTAATTTAGTTTATGTGCAGCAACAACGAAAGATATCTGAAACATGAGACTGTGGATTGATCATAGTAGATCTTGGCAGTTCCGTTTCCTTCTTTTGCTGCTTTAGTCTCTTCAAACGTGACATTGGTAAAAGGTAAATGGCCTCCACTTATGTAATGCTTTGTAAAGTCAGAGGACTCCACAGCGCTTAGCCACTCCTTCAGTCATTCACCCATTTATTGACACATTCACACACTGATGGTAATAAGGTACGTTGTGGCCACAGATGCCCTGGGGCAGACTGCCATTCATTTGGTGCCACAAGCCCTCTGACCTCTGACCTCCACCAGCAGTGTCTTGCCCAGTGACACCATGGCATTGTGACTGAGACAGATAGATGGTTTGCTGAACCAGCGAACCACCAATTATAGGAAAAATCCATATTTCTTGGGCCACTCATTTTCAAAGCATATGTGTAATTTTAGCCACATTAAGTAGGGACAAAAGAGAGGTTATCCTATTTATTTCTCACTATAAATTTTGCTGGTCTTTATTAAATTGTCCTGAAAAATCCATAAGTTTTTTTTTTTTCAAATATGTCTGGAAAAGCACAGACAATAATCACTGAATTAGACAACCCAAATCAAATTTCTTAAACAGTGTGAAATATTGTAGAATTCACAAGGTTTGTCTAAAGAAAGCAGATTGTTGATTTACTATTTATTCTAAATTTGTATATGACGGCTATGGGCTTCTTCTCATATTAATGTGTACTACTTTTCCTTTATATACATATATTCACTTCAATAATTTATTCTCAGGTGTAAAACAGTCGTAAATCTGTGCAGTTATCTTATGTAAATAAGATGAATAAGAACTACCCACGTCATCAGAACTGCAATTAATGTAACTGATGTAGAAAATAATGAATGGTCAGTGCATGAGATGTGAGCATTTCATGTTTATTTATGTACAACTTTCAGTAAAATAGTTAACTACAAGAAATATTGCTCTATGTGCAGTGGTTATGCATATCTGTATGCAGTATATGCTGATGGATATGAAATGGAAGTCGGATTCAGAGAGATGGGAACTGAAAATCGCAAATGATCCCAGAGCTGCTGCCAATAAAATGCCAATGATTTCCCTGTTAGGAGAAAACAAACCGAGCTGCTTAATGCAAAATGCTCCAGTGAAAAATTCCTTGTTAAGTTAACATAAGAGAGATCACAGTGAATATAGCCTTAATGTTTGACGTGCTCTATTGTCTGTTTTTTTCTTAAAGTGTGTCAGTTTGTCAGTCTTACATAAATGAGCCATTTCTGAAAATAGGCAATCACTGTTGGGGATATGATCGATGGGTCTAACTTTAGGAGAGAATTATAAAAAAAGACGTGGATGGAGTACGAAGGGGTAGCTTGTGATTTAGCTGGTGAAGAGTGAGGCAGAGGAGCAACTGAGATGGGATAACAGTGGGAAGCCACTACAAATGAGTGTGCTCTCAGTCTGAAGAGCTCCTTGATGAGTCCTTCTGCTCTTCTTCTCATTAATTCCTGCATATCTCATTTCCTCGTCTGTACTTCCCGCTCCTTGCGCTCAAACCCCCAACAGCCAGTGGGAGATGCTGCAGGTTTTGCCAGCTCTGTCTGGTTTTCCATCTGGCAGCGGGGGAAGAAACACAACCTGTGTTTACATCCCAGTCATGTGTGAAAAATGAATACTAATGCATATAAATAATCAAGCTTGAGTGGGTTTTTTTTTTTTTTTTTTTTCAAAAAAAAAAAAAACAAAAAGGTTCTCTTTCTACACTGGAATGGATCTTACATTTGAAACCAGGGGAAAAGTTGATCCTTTTACCAAGCAAGGCCAGTCATCTGCGCTTCCAATCCTGTTAAAGTGAAAGTTTTTCTAGCATCTATTTTAGACACTACTTTAGTGAGAAATGCCTTTCCGTTACGTTTCTGTTGCACATATGCAAAAAAATTACTAACCTACTTACACATTTATTTATTCCTGTTTTATTCATGCTTAAATGTTACAGGTTTCAAAACAGATTTATATTTTAGACATCAATTATTCAAGTTAATGCGAAAGAAGTGTGAAAATTATCATCAATTCATTAAGGAAAACCAATAGATTAATTGCGTCAAAAAGTCTCCCAAATTTAATAAGTTCTGTCTGGAACTTGCAGTAACAGTCAGTCAGCCTTTTACGTCATTGTCAATATACTTTTGCCCACGCTTTTTTGAAGAAATCCTATTCTGCCACATTGGAGGTCTGTTACGTCACATCGTCTCATCTGGATTTAAGTCCTGACTTTGACTAGGCTAATCAGACAGACTCATAGTTTGGAGTCATTCAGAGGGAGACTTGTCATTGTCTTCATAATTGAATCTTTTACTGGTGATAAATCTCATATTTAAATATGTAGATAATCATCCTACATCTCATGCTAAATTATTGCATAGAGCTAATGATAAACATAGATTACAAAGAATATGTTTGAAGTGAAAGACAGTTTAATAATGGATACTCCAGTAGGTCCATAATCATCAGTCCCAAGCTAACAGATCAGTGGTTTTCTCAGGAAACCCACACACACTGATGGGGAAATGCCAAATATTCAGAGCCAGCTGACTCTGTGTTCCACATTCTCTGCTGCCTTAGGTTGTTAGCCAGGTGATGAGTTCCTACAGATGGTTACGTTGTGAGTGAGAGGGTTCAGCCAATAGGGCTTTGGGGGCAGGACATGAGAAACATGATTGGTCAATGCTAGGTCGAGGCAATGGGCCGGTGTGGGCTGTTAGACGTCAGTTTCTGTCAGGGGAATTAGGGAGACGTAGTTAACCACACGCTCTTACACACAAAGAAAGGTAGGCAGATGGCCTGTATCTTTAAGTCTGCATGTACGGTATTTTGGATTTTAAATCTGTTTCAATGAAAAATGTAACAATGACATTAGCCTTAACTATTTTTTTTTGCTTTGCAAAAGTATGCAAAGCAAACCTTAAACCTTTTAACCTTTTGTGACATTGCAGTTTACCAAAAGTCATCCAGAGGTCAGTGTCAGACGTGATCAATGTTACAGTTTTATGTCTACATGCATAATGCTGTGTGGAATGAGAGTGAATATAAATATGTTCCACACTTTTTATATTTTTCTTTGTAAATAATAATAATAATAATAATAATAATAATAATAATAATAATAATAATAATAACTTTCCTTTCTCATCAAAATGATGTTTCTCTGTGATGTTATCACATGGAACTATAATAAATGCCATTGATGTTTCTGGTTGTAAGATATCAAAATGTACATATTGAAGGCGTTTCCAAGGTGATGTAGTCCTTACCATGCAATTAATGCGCTTGTGTGCCAAGACTGCAGACTCCCTGCTGCTTTAAATGACTACAAAACAACTGATGGGAACTCATTTTGGTTGGGAATATGGATTTGAAATGAGAGAGAAATTAGTTGTCTCATTGACTTGTTAGGCCCTCAGCATCCTGTGCTTTTAGTCAAGTTTTTCCTCACTCTCCTTGCACTATGACAGCTGAGATGAATATGCTTTGCAGAGTAATAAAAAAAAAAAAAAACTAAAATTAAGAAAAGAAATATGAGACAAATGACAAATGACCAACTAAGAGAGCCGGCCAGTGACCCAATCACAACAAGTGACAGCTTGTGCTCTAGATAAAATGCGTATGTGAGTCTCCCTAGGTGTGTGTGTGTGTGTGTGTGTGTGTGTGCATTTTTGGAAACAAGAGAAATATCCCCTGTTAAGAGAGTGTTCGTTCGTGGCAGATTTACAGTGTTCTGTTCACCTTGCCGTTTTGAACAGTGTGCCTTAAAAGGCTTTAGCACTTATTTACCAGTGTGTGTGAGTGTGTGCGTGGAAAAGGTGTGGTGGCAGTACTTTGTTCTGACAGGTAATTTCAGTCTCTCGCTGTGATGTATGATGGTTAGAAGTGAGCGAGCACAAACACCCACGCGCACACACTCCACGCAGAAGCTGCCGCTGTCACATGAGATGGACCTAAAGTTAAAAAAAAAAAATAATGAAATGAAACAATCAGTTTTTGTAAACAGGATCTATTTGTAGTCGTACTATGTATTTGTGATACTTTTATAAAAATGAAAACAATAGCTAATTTGAGACAGATGTGGTTTTATATTGTTATGTTGGCAAATTAAAAAAAAAAAAACTTTCATATGTAAATGTGATTGAGGATAATAAACGCAAATAAAATGAACTGAATGTTTCATCTTAAAAAAAACAGCATTTCAAAAGAGGGGGTGTTTACTTTTTATGCCAAATTTTCTGCTGAGCAGGCTCACAGGGGAAACACAGAACAACACCTGCTGATTTTATTCAATGTAATAAAGGCGCCTATGTTGAATTCTTATAACACACACAGCAGGTACAGAAACCTCCACGGTGGTGACTCTGCTAACCTTTGTCAGAAGTAAGATAATATCTCCCTGCTCTGACACCACTGTTTATTTTTTGCACTTCCTCACCTCGAAAACTGGGCTTGTTGTCTCCCGGCAGTCCCTCGTGAAACCGTACGCTGTAGCTGGCAGGAGAAAGTAAGAACAAACAAAACAAACCAGCATACTGCAATTCCCACTGCAACAGTAAAATACAATAAATTTAGCTCAAAGAATTCTAACGAATGAAGCATATTGCGTGCCGCTTTTCGTAGCACTTTTATAAATTGCGCACAATATCGCACATGTTTGCCTTTCAGCTGTTCATAGAGAAACAGCAGATTTGTAAACAGCTGCAATTAGCTTGATTCGTCATCAGGGAGAAATACGCGGCTCGAAAGCTCATGTTTAAGACGGCGTTAGTTACAGTAATAGGAGAGATGTATGGGACTCCATTCGTCACGACTGAAGATTTTTTGGCATCCAGAATTTTTCCAGACAAAGTTTGTCCTTCTTGTTAAGGAAGGGACGA